CCTTACCCATCTCTTGACACCAGCAACTCCAGTGCCTCATAAATTTTTCAGAACTTTTCCTAAAACTGCTGCCTTTCACAAAACCACAGATTGACCATCCCTGTGCCATGTTTAACACAAAGTAAAGTCCGTTGCTTAGACAGGGTGTGATGCTGTTTGTGCTCAACAGAGTTGGAGGTAGAACAAAAACCTGGGGTCCTTGTCTCACGTCTCTGCCCCAGTTGCCACCGTGTGTTTCCTCCTACTTTCTCAAGCAGACATGAGCTTGCCCTCCCGCACTGCGTGACCACCAGATCAATGCAAAAGCCATGACTTCAGCACTTGCACCCACTTCATAAGCACTGGACAGCTGCTGTAATGCTTGCAACACTCATGATGTCACTGTTGGGTTTAAGCCAATGGTCTATTTTATGATTAGAGATTTTGTTGTTCACTGGAACAACTTCAAGGCTTTTCATCACTATCTCATGTTTATTCCTTGCACCAGTGAGGTGCAGAATGCAGGGAGAAAATGGGTGAGTGGAAGAAACAGGCTGGTCCACAGTAAAGATGGACAACAGTGCCTGTCTAACAAGTGTTCAGCAAAGCTCATCCCACAGAAACGCAGAATCTTGATGAGCTTTTTTTTTTCCTGGATATGGGAAAACTCAAACGCGCATTTCTAAGTGAGACGGCTGGGGCTCTTCTGCCCTTCGGCAGCGTGCACAACCCATGCCTTCCCCCACCCCAGCCTCTTCCGTGGGGCTATGTGCATCCCAAGGGACAGAACAGAGCAGCTCCTAAACGCAATAAACATTACTCTGTCTGGGTTAGTTTTTACATTTCTCTGTTTTATTTCTTGTTTTGTTTGAAATGACCTGTACCACAATAATACGATTTATTTAACAGGTTTTTTTCTTTTTTTTTTTTTTTAGGAGCAGATAATAGTTAAGTAGATACTGTTTATTTCACTGACTGTCTATAACTCCCTGCATCATTCTCACAGCCTCTGTCTCTCTCGCTTCTCCACATAACCCAGCCACAAGAACAACAGAGAGGCCTTTGGCCGTATGATTGATTATAGCTTGTGGATACAAAGTGGAAGCTCTTCTTCTCAGCTCCAATTGGTAATAAAAGCTCAATAAGTTACATTCTAGGGTCTTTCTCAGTTACTTTGCCCTCTAATAGCTGCTTACATGCTTCTGATGCAGCATGTTTTATTTTATATATTTGTAATAGTTTAAAAAAAAGAGATGACTTAGCTTACAAAGAGAAAAATAATGCCCCCTTAGCATGAGCAATACTGTAAGGTTCTGGTTGCTGCGGGGGCGTTTCTTGTAGCTTCACAGTTTTGCTGAGAGGTGTAATGCCCAAGTTTCCCCAGAAACCTAATTCTGTGTGGTATTTTAGCTTTTCTTTTAATTGATCCCTATGAAATTTGTTTTGCATTACAGGCCAGACACTGCAGCTCCCAAAGAACATGCCCAAAACAGAAGAGCTGGTCACTTGAGAAGAACTACCTTTTGTAGCAGCTGATGGGTACGTGATTTCTGTTATCCACATGTGCAAATCAGGGACTGGAGGTGCTTTTACTATAGTTTCTGCACGTGAGCTTCATGTTTCTTCACTGTCACTGATGCACTTACCTCTACTGCTTTTCTTTTCTTTAAGACAGAGAGCTCATTTGTGTCCCAAGGCTCAAGCTCCATCGTCTTTGGCCCCATGCAGAAGGACAGCTGTACAGCGCTGACTCTGTGACTCCTATATTACAAATGAATGGCATAAAGAGCACTGACCCAGTACCCATTTCCTAGTTTGTGTCTCAACTTCCACATCCCTGGACTTTTTTGTAAGAGACTGTGAACATTCGAAGACCTAAGAGTTGCTGAAGCCAAATTTTCTACTTCAAAGTGCACTGAAAGAACTACAGTAAGATATTACCCCTCTCTGCAAGCCCAGCCCACTGTGCTGCTGGACATGCTCCTCATTTGTGGCAGCGTGGCAGTACTAGTGACGCACAGCAGATCAGAATAACTGGGAAGAGATGCGTGTGATTCCTGCACTGGTCTGAAGGCCCAAGAGACCTGACCTGGTTCCCAATTTCAGATGGTACAAGCCTTTTAAAGGTTAAATCTAGACAGGTGTTTCTGTCTCAGTTCCTGGGGAAGAGTATCCATTCCTTGCTTAAAGAGATTAATATATGCTAATTACTGTCTGGTTCAGTTCCCATTCTATTTGAGAAGCAGTGCAAACATTTCCAGGCAGGCATATTATCTTCAAGCAATGGGGGATATCCAGATGGGCTCCAAGGTTATGCAGCTGTAATGGAGAAAGAAGGTCCTGGAAAAAAAAGCATTTGGTATCTTTACATAATTCTGCCAAGGCAGGAGTTGCCTCCATACCATAGCCCTACTCAAAATAGCCAGTAGTCTCTGTGAGCTAGAAGCTACCTCAGCAGCTCTCCATAATTGTGGTTCTTAGTTCTCCTTCTCTGTTCTGGAAAGCAGGCCTGAGTCCAAATACAACAAAGCTGGAAGAGCCTTTTTTGGGATTATTTTTCTAAGTGACCTTTCCACCCAGGGCCCAACAGAGTAAGAATTGTTTCTTTGGATCTTTTCTGACCAGTTTGGGACAGCTACCTTTGTACAACAGGCCAGGTTACAATGTGCCATGGCTGAGCTGGGTGGGACTTGGCAGGGAAGCAACAGCGGTCAAGTGAGTCAAACTTGGAGCACATTTGTGAAGGTATTTGTGCCACGGCCAGAAAGAGTTGCCAGAATGCAGCACATGGCAAGCTGGTGGCATGCATATCACTTTGGTCCCTTCTCAGTCACAGATGGGTGGAGGGATCATGAGTGCGACCAAAAGCCTCTCACTTTCTCCCCAGCTGCCTCTGGCAGGGAGCTGAGGAGAGAAGCACAAGTATCTGTTCATAGCACAAAGCCACCATGCAGTTGCTGCTGCTGTGAACATGGAAGTAGTCCCAGCTCCCACAAGCCTTCTGCCCCTTAGGTCTCTGTTGTTTTATTAATGTGCCTGAAGCAAGACTGAATTCCTTTATCAGGCGAGTACAAAATGAGCTAAAGTAGCTACAACTGTGTAGTGCAGGGAAAACTCAAAAAAGATGGAACTGAGCTAACTCAAGTACCAGGAGCAGGCTGGCTACAAGAGCTGAGAGGCCAGCATCAGTCAGTGCCCCCAGGCTCTGAGCTGGCCTGGGCATTGTTCCGCAGCAGCAACAGTCCGGATGTGGCACATCCTGCTCCAGCAGCAAATAAGCACCTAGCGTCTCCCTGATCACTCACCTCAGCCCTGGTTTGGAAGGTTTTCTGCTGGGGTGGGTGGCAATTTGCTCCTCTGCCACCTTTCTCCTGGAATAGCCAGGAAGGGATGAAAGCTTGAGGGGAATAGATGCAGTAGGGCTAGTGATGTCTCAGATGTAGATCACAGACTTTTTCTCACCTCTTGCCATGCCGCTGACCACAAAACAAAGACTACATTCAGGTCTCATCGGCTCACACTGGCTCAAAACTAAGTGACCTCGAAAATAAAATCTCAGAAAATGCCAATAGACAGTTTTGTCAGTCACCTACATTGGCCTCTGGCTACTGGGAATGCAGCAGTTGTGGCTTAGGCAGCAGATCTAAATTATGGCTTGGAGATAGCAGGGACCTGGTTACATGAAGGAAGCAAATAAACATTCCCCCAGTTCTACTCCCACTACCTCAAGGTCAGGTATTTGCTTTCCCATCAGCAAGAGAACCACTTACCAGGCCCAGGTATAATCTATGTTAGCTCTTTTGCTGCTGTTGAGGATAATGGGATGAGGCAGGAGAAGACAGCAGTTGGGATATTGGGGGGCTCATGCCACCCTCTTAATTTATTTCCCTAGGCTGCCACAAAAAAGCAATCTCTCAGCCTCAAGAACTGCCTCCTCCGAAAAGCAGTGCCCTTGATTCCTAACTAGCATTTGGCAAGAAGCCTAAGTCTCTGTGGAGGCAAAGAGCTATCACTTTAATGAAATCTAGGAAAGCCCTGGTTTGGGGTGTATTTATACTTGGGCAGTAACCATGCAAACAAAGCCTTGTGTTCTCTGCCACAAGGAACAAGTGGGGAATGGCACTCAGCTGAGCTGAAGAGGCAGGTTTGATACGCTACAGGGTGAAAAGTGTGGAAGAATTGTAGTTAGCACCACATAGGAGAGGCTGCAGAGATTATCAAGTCAACCCAGCACTGAAGCATAACATCGAGCTCTTTTCTTTTTTTCTTGCCATCTGGGAAAGAAGACTTGCATTCTCTCAGGGACATACATCCTACCTCTTCAGGGGCCTGCGGGGATTGTACATGGGAGGGACTAGCCAGGCGTAATGACACACTGTACAAGGTCGCAGAATATCTTACACAGTTAGGAGCATCTTTCCCAGTAAGAAGTGGGGCCTGTATGTACAAGTGTTAGCTGTCGTTAGAGGAGCCTGGGAGGCAGCTGTTTTGATCAGGAGAGGTCCAGCTGTGCTCTTCTCCTAAGGAGCATCTGCTCTATGGTTAGAGCCAGGCAGGTGACAAAAAGGACCCTGGCTGCCTTCCTTTCTTTCTGACCCCTCACAACACCAGCAGATAAAGTTTACTCTATTCTTCCTCTCTTCCTGCTTCTGTCCCCACCCTCCCTCCAGCACTGGCGGAGGGAGCTGGGGAGCAGGCGGCCTGGCAGCGCTGAGAGCATCACTGCTCAGAGAGGCTGAGCCCTGGTGACCGCCTCAACAAGTGCAAGAGCATGTTCTGGTACTTCCCACAGAGAAAACAAACGAAAAAAAGAGAAACAGGTGACTGATTAAAAGAGTTTCCCCCCTCCTGTACACGAGATTCTGCAGTCACGCCGACAGATAGACATTAAATAATTCTTCCATAATAAATGATTGGAGATAAAAGCCGGCGGTGGCTGCTGCTGCTGTTTGGATTGCTCCGTTGTCTGCATCTTTGTTTCTAGTTTGTTCCCCGGCCACTGTTGGCTGGCGCTGGGGCTGTCAGACCTTTGCCTCTAGCATTTCTAGGAAGAGTTTATGCATGGGAACCTTGCCCTGCAGTTTGATGCTGTAGAAGTGCTGCACAGCTTTGGCTGCCGTCTGCCGCAGGAGGGGCAAGGTCAGGAGCAGCTTGCCTGCTCGCCGGGGCTCCTCGTTGCGCTGACTCAGCTCGTAGTCCTGCAGGGCTTCGTGGAGAAGGTCCTGGAGTTTCTGCACTGCATCCATGTCCTCTATGTGCATGGAGTCTGAGGAGAGGAAGAAAAGGCAGCAAACAGACAAGTCAGATGTGAAGAAGGAAATCCTTTATGGTCCTGAAGCTAAAGATGCTTTCTTTTCTGCGTTTGTTATTTTATTTTATTTTTTATTTTACTTTATATTATTATTTTTGTTTGTGCCCTTGTTGTTGTTGTTTTGTTTCTTAAGGGGAAAACCCTACTTTGCTGGCCAGTGTTGGTGCTGCTGCTATGAAGTTCAGCATCATCCCAACAAGTTGTCCCCAGCAGGGCAAGGACAGGAAGGCTGCTGGGTAGGTGACACATTGTACCTTGAGTGCTGCCGATTTTGCCAGCCACCCAAAGGCTGCGCAGGGGTCAGCCAGGGGCCTTTGTGACTTGCACATTCACTTGCCCTCCACGCTACTTATGGGGAGAGTCACCCTGTAAGGGGCAGCAGCTGCTGTGCTGCCACTTGGGAGCAATCTCATTAAGAATAATTAACACTGCTATAGCGCTTCATCTGTCTAAACTGCCTAATTGCTGTGCAGCTGCTCAGGGTGTCAGCAAGATAGAAAAGCCCCAGTAGGTCACAACCAGTGTGCCCAGGGGTTTTGCCAGCCCCACCTTTGTGCATATGCCCCTGTTCACAGAGACTGGCAGCAGCTGTTCAGGGAGCCTCCTGCTTCAGTAGAGGAAACCCACACCTCCTCCAAGGCCTCTTCCCTTACGCTGCCAGTTAAAACTCTACAAGCTGCCAGCAGGGCTAGCAGGGTTTTTAAGGCTAGCACAGCTCCTGGGGTGTCTCTGGGGCAAAGGATGTACCTAGGGAACCTGAGCTGCTGAACTTGTAGGTAAGGCACAGTGACAGAGGACTCACCAAAGAGCAGAGAGGTTAGATCAGAGAAGGCAACCAGGCACAGCATCTCTGAAGATTTTGGCTCTTTTTCATCCTGCTGATACTTGCTGCTTTGTTAAAACCCTGACAGAGCTGGAGGCACTGTTGCCTTGTCTTCATTGTTCAGAGACTTTTAATCGATACTGAAGCCATTGATAAAGATTCCTGCCACAGGGTAACGAATCCAGAAGCAGCAGCAAAGGAGCAGTGTGGCCAGCACACCTGCACACATGTAGTTGCACCCTCTGCCACTGCAGTTGGGTTTTGCAGCGTGGCAGTGCTCTGGCTCAGCCCACACACGTACAACACAAATGTGGAGACATGGGTTCCTCAGCGAGACTGCAGTGAAGGGGAGGAAAGTTTGCCGAAGGGCCAAAATCTCTCTAGAAATATGTGTCATCTCTATGGAGAGCACAACACAAATTAGAGACTGTGAATTTCATAAGACACTTATACAGTAAATGCTATTTATGATGCATCACTTATAAAGTATTACAACAGTTGGGAAAATGTTGTGTCTAATAAGAAAGCTGTTTAAGAAGGAATGCACTAATTATAGGATATTAAATGGTTGCATTTCCAAGAAGCCTACTGAAGAAGGATTGTTCTTGCTGCATTTGGTTTTTGTATCCAGGCAAAGAAGCTCACAAAAGGGCTGGTAGGTCACACAGGCCAGGAGAAGTGAGTGGGATCTGTTTCCTGCAAAATTGCAGAGGTTGTTTTGGAGACTGGAAGTACCAAGAGCTGGAGCTTGGACAGTCTTTCTGTTTAATGTTCTGGCTAGGGGCACAAGGTGGGAAAGTAATTACAGTCCATCAGATTTTGCACATCCCAGCAGGTGCTAGAAGCACCAGGCAATGAACCATGCACCAGGTCAAAATGGGTGCTCTGGTTTTGGGCACCGATGTTGCTATACCACAGGGAGAATCCCACAATTGTGCCCTTCTGCCGCCTGACTTCTGTAAGGTGACAAGACTTAACAGCGCTAAATAACTACACATATACAGGGAGAGGAATTGGGGAAATAAAGATCAAAGCCTGCCCCATCCCCCCACTCTGTGCTGAAAGAAGCTCAAAATTGGCAGCTGACTGCAAAAAAATAAAATAACATTGCAGGATTAATTTCCTTGCAATCCATCAGTGAACTGGTGTCGATGGCATTGATAAACTGTTAATTACGAAATCAATAGCTATGAATTTTTACAGCTGTCAGAGCACTGAGGTGGAGGGAGACTGCCTGACCATGTCCCTGAGGGTCAGCTGGCCTAGACGTCATCCCCTCTCCAGCATTGCTGGCATGGGGTACAGAGCAGTGTGACAATGGACAAAGCCCGCTGCCTCCTCACTTAACACTCTTCTTGCAGCTTCCAGCAGGAGCAGGGACCTCAGAGGACCCATTAGTTCAGAATTTGCAACAGATTCCCTTGCTAGACCCAGGCCTTGTGCACTCCATCTTGTCACTAAGGGCTCTGGGTTAAAAAGGGGGGAATAAGATTTGGCCAGTCTGGGATGTCCTTAAATGAACTTGTGCTGTATGCTAACCTGAAGGGCTCTTCAATATACAGGTTGATCAGTTTGTATTTCTGAGAAAAGAGGACCTAGTAATGCCTAAGAAGAGACTGCTGGCTCTGAAGAGTAACAACTTAAGTCTGCACCACCCCTACTCTGTGAAAAAATGGGTGATCATATTGTCGGGACTTGCCTCCTGCTCTGGGCATTAAGAATTCATTTCTCAGCTCTCTAAAATGCATTCCCTAAAGACAAGAGTTCTCTTGAATTGTCTTTGCCCGTCTCAGCAGGTGTGTCCTTGGTGCATTACACTGAGGACTTGGAGATCAGCCACAGATCTGGCAAGGTCACCCTATTGTCACCTCCTCTGGTGAAGAGGGAGTGAGCTCCCACTTCTGATTTAATTTGGTTTAATTCTTAGAAACAAAGGGTCAATATACACAGGGCGGCATGGAAGAGAGGAAAGTCCCTAGGACCTGGGTTGTACAAACAATTACACCCAGCAGGGATAAGGGAAATTCAGGAATTTATCTGTATGGGAGGCAAGGCAAAAAGCAGGCCTAGGCAGCACAAGTGCTAATCTAAGAGCTCAGCTTTAAACCCTGTCCCTGACCCAAGGAAGCTGAGGCCTGGCCCAGAGCTAGTCTGCATTCCTACTGTTTTAGGAATCAGCTGTTTGCATGCAAGCACATACATGAAGGCTCTGCAAGTTTGCTCCATGCCAAAAATATGCTAAGAAAAATAACATATTAAAATAATTGGAAGGTTGCATGTGAAGGTTACATTAGAAAAACATACTTGCCCTATTCCAGCTTCCTTATATGTGTGTTGTGAGGGGCTCTAATTACTTGACAAACAAGATCTCATGCTTTACTTTTCTGAGTTTCAATACTCCCACACAGCTGCACTAGAAGAAACCAGTGAAGTCAAAATAGCTTTTCCCATCCCGCTGGGAACATGTTTTGACCTGTGCCTCCTGGCCCTTACCTTGGTTTATTTACTCCACGACGCTGGAAGCAGAACCCAAAAGCACCTGATGAGCGCTGTTGTTCTGCTCTGTCTCTGCTCAGTGTTTCTCCACTCCTGACACAGACTGGGCTTAGACCTGACAGCACAGTGAACAACATGAGCAGAGAGCGCTTCTGTTGCACCGTGAAGAACCTGACAGCACTAAGACTCAGGTCCTGCAATGTCACTGCTCACAGCATGGGCCAGGTGAGTGTGCCCGTGTGGCACTTATCCTGCCACCCTGTCACAACCACTGCCTTAGCACTTCGGCCTCTCTGGGGAGCCCTTCTCCCTGTTTAATCCTGTGACCTTCCTGGTAGGCAGGTTCTTTAACAAGAGTTGATTACATCGCCAAAAGCCACCACCCTACGATTGAGAGGGCCAGCCTTGGCCATCTGCCCATCCTGGTTCAGTGGCAAAGCGAAGGCAGCAATTAGAGCTTAAAAAGCAATAGATGAGAAATTGAAAAAGGGAACTAGATAGCAATTTATATGAATCAGAAGTTATGAAGTGTAGAAAATCGATACAGAAAGTGAAGGACATTGGAGGAAAATCCATGGCTGGAAGGGCTAAGGACAATAAAGAAGTTTTATAAATATTTAAGAAATAGAAGAAAAATGATGATTTGCAGGGGGCTCTTTTCACTTGGAGATGATTAAGCTATTAATAGCAGTGCAGAGGATACAGAAGCCCTCAGTGAGCACGTATCTGTGTTATATGAAGATGGTGAAGAATTCTTAGTCTGCTGTTTACACAAGATGTTGTTAGATATCTGTTAGGGACAAACGTCACAGAAATCAGCAGAGCTCGATAACTTGGTTTCAGGAGTTATAAAATTGGTGGCTAAAGCCCGTCTAGGGCAGATGACTGATTAACAAGTCTTGGTATTTTTGAGAAATTCAAGATGACTGGAAAAGTTCTAATGATGCACACGTTTTCCTAAGTCTTATCTGATAATTTTCATGCCAGCCTGATGTGAACTAGGGAAAAATAAAGGAAAGAAAACAAAAACACCCAAGTGATGTTCAGTTAAGACTTACAGGACAGTATTTAGAAAATGTGTAGATGTAACACTTGGGGACATGGTTTAGTGGTGGACTCGGCAGTGTTAGGCTAATGGTTGGTCTTGATGATCTTAAGGGTCTTTTCCAACCTAAACGATTCTACAATTCTGATTCTACTGCCAGTCAACAAGATATTTTGGAATAGAGGTCTTGTCAAAAAAACCTGATTTCATTCTCTGATGAGATTATAAGTTTGGTTGATAAAGTTAACTGCATAGATATAATAGACTTAGGATTTCATAATGCACTTGGCTTAGCACCACAGGACATTCTCATTAAAAAATTAGCACTATGCAATATCAATAAAGCACACTTTCAATTGATTAGTAACTGGCTAGATGACAGATCTCAAAGTAGCTATCAGTAGTGAATCAACCCTGAAGGAGGAGTTTTCCAGTGGAAATCCACAGGGATCAGTAAAAAACCAGATGCTACTCAACATTTTTATCAATGAGCTGTAAGTAATTTCTTTTTATTTTTTTCTTTTAAATTGCTGCTGCTGAGAATTATGGACGGCAGAGAGCAACAGAACGCTGTACAATGATGAGGACAGGGCTGCATTCTGGACCACTTCCTTACACTTTAAGTAATATATCCATAGCCAAGGAATGTAACTGTGGAACAGGAACTTTATTGTGTCAAGCTGTCAGGTGTAAAACGGTCTGGGGCTATAGGACACAGCCTCAATCTGGAGGCTGAACTCAGGCAAATTGATGTGAAAAATATGGTGCTTTTTTTTTTTTCTTAACTGAGAGAACAATCAATCATTAAAGTCAGCTACCATGAAAGACATAGATTCTCCCCCCTTTTAGTCCCTTCAGCTCCACATGGAATGTCTTTCTGAAAGGCAGCTTTAGCCAAACACAGATATTAGACTCACTGCTGGGCCGCAAGGGTGAATTCTGTGGCCCGCACAATGCAGTTCGGCCAGGAGATCTGATGTGAGACAATGAGACTCAAGGGATGTAGAGGGAGCCCTCGTCACACAGTAGCTTTAGCAATTTCCCTTTCAGAAGGAACTCCCGAGCAAATATGTGTCTCACTTTTGTGCAACATCAGTGCAGCGCACAGCACCGCTTGTGACTCCCACAGCCTGTGGATTGAAGGCTGCAGCCCTCCGCAGACTGAGATGGAAGGCACTGGGCTGAGGGCCCTGGCCTTCCTCACCCTCTGCACAAGAAGAAACAGAAGAGGCAACATCAGGCTTCTGCCAGCATGTCTTACCCTCTGCCATCCAGATCCTCACTGTCTCCCAGTTAAAGGGGTCAATGAACATCTCCAGGACAACAACAGGCAGCGCCAACCCACAGCTTTTTGTGGGATTTGAAATTGGGATCAGGGTTTCCCTGTCTGCTGTAACTGACCAACACCATTGAAGTGGATGCAGGTGTGGCCCACATCTCTGTAGTAGAATTTCTTGTGGAACAAGAAATCAATATACCCCTTTAAGGTTTGGACAATCCAGCTTGTGCTCTGTCTTTGAAGTTTTCTTGAAGAGGGAGTAAAACTATTTTTTGTGAGAACTGTGCTGGGTATGCAAGCACGTATGATAGGATGTTCTAACCACAGCAAGGACATCTAACACCCCCATGGCTTGATAACATTAACAGAAAACAAAGCTTATTATAGCTTGCACCTGGTGTGTGTGTACACTGCCTAACCGTATATATATTGGGCTAATTTGAGCAATAAACTGAGGACGGCATGGAATCGTATCGGTGGGATTGTCGTTACTTGGTCAGCTCTCCAAAAGGGACCCTCTTCACAACTCCTTTTCCAAAGTCAGAGCACTGAAGTCAGCTTGCTAGTGGAGAAGGGCTCCACAGCCTTTCTTTTACTGCCAGAAACCAGCAGCCAGCCGATCGCTGCCTGGTTCCACTCCCTAATACTGGGTTGGAGCACAGCTGGGGCTCTAGCAGCAGCAAAACTTCATTCCTCCCTGTTTTCCAGCCTAGGTCCTGCTCTGCAGATAAAGAGGAGCTTGGAGGATGTTGTGCGACATAAGCAGAGTACAGTCTCTGGTTTCCTCCCAGTATAGGCTTTGACTCCCTGATTGTGAAGCTGGCTGGGTCAGGGACATACCTGAGTTGGCGAGAGCTAGAGCTTTGAGTGTGACAAACTCCTCCTTCTCCACCTTGAGCTTCTTGTAGCGACGTACCAATTGCAGGATGGCCAGGTAGAGCTCTAGCAGCCCCGTTAGACGAGAGTGCTCTTCATCCATGATGTAGTCCTCAGCATAGACAAGCTTGTCCTCATATGGCAGAGAGCGGTACACAATGCCCAAGATGAGGATTTCCATCCAGGCACTCTGCAGGAGGCTCATCTGGTCCCCAAGGGAGAGGTTGGAGAACCCTGACAGGGCAAAAGACAAGCAGGTCTAATGGTTGTGCAGCAAAACCCCTAGGAGTCCTTAGTTTCCCTGGGATTTGCCCCACACACTCTCCTCCATTGGCCTGTTTCTTTAAAAAAACCCCAGAAAGCTTAATAAAGTGACCCTGTCCCTGTCAATGAGACCATGTGGATCATACCCTTCTCTTTGTTCCCACACCCATCCAGAGCCTCAAACAGGAGTTCTGATGCTTTCTGACTGCATTTTTGGCAACCCAAGGTTAATGCTAACCTCTTTTCAATGATCCCTGCTTCTTCTACGGCAGTGACTGTTTTGTACCACATGGTCTCTCTATATTTTTCTACTGCAGCCTATTTAGTCTGCCCTAGCTGACCAAAGAGCACAGCAGAGCTCCAGATGGCATAAAAGAAGGCTTCTGATGGGATAGGAGGGAATGACACAGGCCTGCATGACAAGCATACCACAAGATCTCATTTTGGCCAACATGAGAGAAAGCCCTGCCACAACAGAGCATCAAAATGTATTCAAAAGCCGGACACATTTGTGAACAGAATCTTCTTCTATTCCTCATGACTCCCTGAGCTCCACATCATCACCTTTCTACACCTCACAGCCAACAACCCTACTCAGTGTCAAAAAGCCCTTATGGTGCTATACAAGCACCTAAATCACAGCCAAACACAGAGGCAACGGAACCAGCACCGGGCAGTGAACCAAGTCATTCTCCTCAAATACAGAAAGAGCTATCACCATCTGGAGAGAGTCCTTGACAGCCCCAGAGCCCACCTGAGAAACACAGAAGCACTGTCTGCCTTAGTGGGGGGAAAAAAGTGCATGGGAAGTAAAGCTCTGTCTGCCATGTCCTCTGCACCAGGGAGCCTTGAAGGCCAGACCACAAAAGATCCTGGGAGATGGGCACTCTCCAACAGCCATTACAGCCAGGGATGCCACGCGCAGTGTGTTGGTCCCATGCAGATAGCTCCTGCCCACCACGGACAGGCAGGGACTGTGCTTTTTAGCAGCTCCTTGCATCTAAAGGTTCCCAGTGCTCTGATACAACGGGACACCCAGGCATCCTTCAGCTGGGGCTTGATGCTCCATCCCCTCCCCTTCCCCAGACGCTTACGAAGCCTCAGGGCTCATCAGGAGGCCTATGAGCTCATCAGCCTCTGTTCAGGAGCCTCCCAGCCCCACTGGCTACGCATGTGCTAGGCTCAGCCAGACTCCTTTATCCCACAGCCCTCCCTGCTCACAGTTCTTGGCCCCGCATCACATTGAGGCCTAGGTAGCCAGCCACCACGATGATCATTTGATTTCTCTTGTTATCAAGTTGGCAATTAACAAAAGAGCTGATGATTGCTATATTGACTGACTGTGGGTTCTCTTTTTCTATCTGCACTATCTCAGCTGGGGAAGGGAAGGCAGAAGGGTGGGTTAGTGGTATTTATTTATCGCTACGCCATGTTTTGTGTTTGTGTTGCCAGGGGAAGCAAAGGGTGATAATGGCCTGGCAGCCCTTGGACATCCAATTTCCCTTATCAGGCCACTGAATAGAAAAGAGGCCTCAGGCCACATTAATTAACAGATACCAATCAGCTGTCACGTGTTGTGTGTGCAAGGTCTGAGGGGAGCAGTGGGTGGGAGGGAAGAATCAATAAACCATTGGGGAGGAGTGCCAGAGGGAACAGCTAAAGAGGAGTCTAGGCTACTGGGGAGAAGAGCTGCAAATCCAGCTCCACGACTGAGACTGATTCCTGCACAGCACTGGAAGCCTGTGCTCCTCAGTGCTGCACCAGTGAATCCCACACCCTGCTCAGGCAGCGAGTACTTCAGGGGTGCCTCGTCCTTTTCTTCACCCTTCTGCCCCTTACCTCCTCCGGTCAGTACTGTGCTGCACCTGAATGGAGCCCTCCTGACCAAGTCCAAGTGCAGGCTGATGCAGCTGAAAGGCTTGGGATCCTGCCTCCCCAGGTCTGCTTGCTGCACAAGGAACTGATCAGACTGGACCTGACACAGGAGTAATGGTGCTGTGCATAGCACTGTCACAGTCTCTGACACCTGGAATCTCTCCTTTGGTCACCCCTTTCCCAGCTCTGACCATGGAGAACAGCCCAGCATTTAGGCTGCTGCCTAAGTCCAGTTTCTGGGTAAGTCACGTGGCCTTTCTGCATCTTCATTCCCCATCTGGGTTATGCTATCACCTCACTGCAGTCTGCCAATGAAATTTGTTAAAGATTGAGAAGTCATGTAGTAGAGTGAGAGCATCCAGGACAGATGTGGTTCACACTTCTCTGCTAGAGGATAAAGCAGAAGAATCGACTTAACCTTAGCACTAGCCTGTACATTCAGCATCTCTGTTAATCGCTCTTTCCCAGAGGCAGTTATGGCAGGTGAGAGTGACTTCACAGGAGAGACTGTGCTTTACCCTGTGCCAAGGAGAACAGAAGAGCAAGCTGCAATTGTCCTACCCACCTGGGAAAGCCCCTTGCCATAAGCACTCCCAGGAAGCCAACAACTCCAGCTCCAGCAGGTGGGTGCGAGGGAGGGAGTGCGGCAGTGCTGAGTCTGGACTTGAAATGTCTGACAGAATCAGGACCCTTTTCCTCCAGTGCTTACACACGTAGAATTCAAGGGCTGGAGGACTGTGCCTACATCACTGCAGTCTGCACAGATACGGGAAGATCACGTAACCTGGGGTCACTCATGGTATAAACCTTGAGATCAGGAAAGGTAAATGCTAATTTCACCAGGCCAAAATCAGAGGCTTGCTATTATCAGTTTAAAACACTGGAGAACTTCTAGTTGTGAAATTCAACTGTCTCATCATCTTGCAGCTCCCAGGAACTGCTGCAATCCAGCCTTTTTGCATTCCTGAGCTGTTCGATGGTACAGCATCCAGGAAGTGCCCTTAGTGATCTGTTTCTTGCCGCTTTTCTCAGGTCTGATCCTGAAAGGTGCTGAATGCTCCACTGCCATCCCTAGGCTCTGGAAAGAGAAGCCTCTGCTCTAACATAGAGCTGCCTGCACATTTCCGTCGCTCCCAGGTGCAGGTTGAGAAAAGCTGCTTTATTTGCATTAGTTAATGTGACATTCGGTTCTAGTGTGGGGTTTGGGGTTTTTTTTTCTGATTTTTTATTTCAGTGGTTTGGCAGTGGGAGCTCCCAGAATAAAAAAAAAAAAAAGTCACATAATTTGTGGCAAGTGGAGTTCATAATCTGTTAATTTATTATCATTTCTGTCATCCTGGAGGGCCATTAGCAGAGGTAATAAAGGGAGACGTAATTATAGGATCTGAGGCCACTCCAGACACAGCTGCTGTCACTCCACTTGCCATATTTCATTCTGTGCTAGTACTATCGTCTTCCTAGTGAGAACAGCACAACAGCTACCCTGGGAGAGCCTTCAGCATCACCCCTCGAGAGAAGTCTTGTCTCCCTGCATCAAGGCACGCAGAAAAGGTAGATGTTGCTCAAAGACAATTAGCACCGTTGGGAGGATGTGTAGTAGGCAGAGGGCCTCGTACAAAAGGGGACAACTCCATATTTTCTAAAGGTGGTTTTTGAGATAATGACTAGTAAGGGTATGGAGCTAATAACATTTGCTCAACACCATTAAATCACACTTCCTTGTTACCATGGGAGAGAGTCTTTAAGTTAACTGATTTTATTTACTAACACTGTGGGGTAGAAGTTTGTGCTGATACCTTGGATCCCGAAGAGTTGGTATGACTTTAACATTACATCGTTCTTTACTAATTCCAGTATGAATACAAGGCAGAAAGAAATATGCGACTTTTGTTCCTTCCTCCATCCCTCTCTGCCCAGGCGTTCATACATAGAGGAAGCAATGTCCTGTTTTGCTCAAAATCCTTGGAAGGCAGAAGTATGGGGCATGGATAATTTAGGCACCTGGCAGCCTCGTGGCCCTGCCCTGCTCTGCCCCCTTGCTGCCTAACTCAGTATGTTTCATACTTGTTTCAGAACTATTGGATATTTTGTTCTATGTTTATGAACTGTCTTTTATTATGTTTGTTTCTCGGTACTGCTCCCTTGTGTAACAATCCCTAAGCTCTTTCCTGTGCACAGAGTCCCATTACAATCCTGCTGGCTGGTCAGAACTGTGCTAGGATGGTCTGTGGTAGGATGGTCTGCTGGCTGGTCTGAACTGTGCTGTTACCGTGTTGCGGGGCTTTTGTAGGAAAGGAAAATACACAGAGAAAATTGAGATGATGGTAGGTATGTCCTGCCTTTCAGAAAGGAGAGGAAGAGTCCCTTCCACACGCAGGAGTAATCCCTACTATACTCCTGTTCCGGGAGGCTGGAAAACTCTGTAGGAACTCGGAGCTGAGCATCCCATGCTCATCGCACAGCCGCAAACCAGAGAACTCCAGCAGAGCACCCTGTGCAGACAGGAACAGTCAAGGTGAGAAGAACGTACAATGGCCCCTCACTGGACAGCTGTAGCAGCTAATTGCATTGCATTAAAACTATTCCTGGTAACATCTCAAGTACTGGGTTAGTAGAGCAATCCAGGCTGAGTTCCTTAATCACCACTGTAACCCCGCTTGTGATGAATCAGCCTCAGATGGATTCCAGCACTAGGGACAGGTGTAATCCCTGCAGATACTGCAGACCTTGGGTAAGAAGGGTACTACTGAAATTAACCTCTGCTCAGAAACGTTGTCCTGAAAAAGTTTCTAGATTGGATATTCGGAGGAAGTTCTTTACTGAACGAGTGGTGAGGCACTGGAACAGGCTGCCCAGGGATGTGCTGGAGTCACCAACCCTGGAGGTGTTTAAAAAAAAAGTAGATCTAGCACTTGAGGCTATGGTGTAGTGGTTAGGTACGCTGGGATGAAGGTTGGACTAGATGATCTTCAGAGGTCCCTTCCAACCCCTAAAATTCTGTGATTCTGTGATCTTCATAGTCCCACCACATAACAGTCCATATTCCAGATAGCCCAGGAAATGACCAACCCTTGAGTTACAGGAAAAATACTCCTTCTGAAGAAAAGAAAAGCAGCCACCAAAAAGACAAAGGAGGAGCTACAAAGAGAAACAAATATGTGGGAGAAACAAACTGTTTGATCACTCATGCTAAGATGACTCATCAAATAAGAAAAAACTTGAAGCCAAGAGCCAAAGCGAGAGAACACAGACCCATGCAGTGGAAGACACAGACAACAAGCAATGTGGGTTAAATCCTGTGATCCTGTGGCTGAGCCTCAGGTATTCTCCTGACATAAGAAGAGGGACAGAAGGCAGAAGATAGCTGTAGTGAGCTATTCATAGTGAGCCTCTGAAGCAGTCTTTGGAAAGCAGCCATGTAAACCCCAAGGACATCCCTTAAATTCCCTGGCCAACCTTCACACCCAAAGTCAACCTATCTCCTTTTGGTGAGGACAGGGTGGAACTAGAGATAGGGGGCATTTTCTGTTCCCCGTCCAAACCTTTGACCCCAGAACCCTGTCGTGGGCCGTGTCCGCTCCTTCAACCTGGGTCTGTCCTACCTGCAGGTGTGAGACACTTGCTACATCACTTAGTAGTACAGGCACTCACTGAATACAGTCAATGAGCCTTCCGAGGCCAGTCACACTGCCACTAAGTTGTCCTTATTATTTCACTAAGTTGTCCTCATTATTTGTCAGCATAGAAGCCTGGAGATTCCCAACAAGACTTGTTCTGTAATTAATTCAGTATGATGAAAGCTGTCCTGAGTCAGGATGAAATGCCCACCAGAGACAGGGTAGGTACCTGCCTTGTCATAAGCAGTAAAGTCCAGTCCTTGCCATAACACTTATTCATCTATAAACACAACAGACCTAGGTCATGTTAATGCAGCACAAAATCACTGAAGTTCACCGTGCCAACCCTAGGTTGTTTCCCAAGTGTTTTCGCTGTGCCACTCAATGCCAGGTACAACTGAGAACTTTATCATGTCATCTCAAAGCTGCCTGCATAATCCCAGGACACGCACACACGTACAGTCAACATTTTATGCCCCTACACCGTAGGCTATATTGGAGTTTGTTGCCAGTGAGAGCCCACCACAAGCAGTTTTCCATGACAGTAATTTCCATCCATCACTATATGTAAAAATCCTGGTTGACAACAAAACTGATAAATAATAGCTCTGCTTGCTGTTCATGCTTACATCCCTGTAATTCCCCCCGTTTACCTGGGATGTGCTTTGCCCAGCCAATGATCACCACTAGTTCCCTGTCTGCCAGGTCACAGAGGGTTGTCAGGGCTTTGATGTCACTCTCTGGCATGGTTGGATCCGGCATGGCATAAATCTTCTCGGGCTCAGCCACCAACAAGTGGGAGACGATCTTAGTCACTGCATATTTCAAAGGAGAAGTCGTTGTTGTATCTCTCATGACATCAGGTGTCATAACAGCCCCTTCTAGAAGGACTTTTCTCAGATAAGACCTGACTATAGAGACACCACAGGACCTCAGAAATGGTTTTGGTCACAACAGAAGACTACACTGCAGCTACACAAGCTGTAGTGATCTGCCTATGCCAAACCCACTCTGCTTGGGATGACAAAAGCAGAAAGCTACTGTAAGGTTCTTGACCATTGTTTCAGATTGGTATAACAGGGGGAGCAGGAGATATAAATAATCAGTTGGTGGGATGTGGAAAAGTTTAGAAACTATGGGTGGCATGGATAAGAGAAATCAGCATGGGACTGGTTTTGTTAACATAACTTGGATACAGAAACCGATCAGAGTATCACTAAGTGGATTTCTATAACCCCCTAGGAAAGGTCTGATATTTAACCCTAGGTGCAATGAATATAGCACCTGGCCTGCACCTCAGGGGTACCTAAACCACCTCTGCACTATGATCATAAGAAAAAAATCCTAGTGCTGGTGACTGATATGAGAACCAGAAATGACAACTGCTTCATTATGAGCCCAATAAAAAGAAACTTAGTGGTTGCTCAGAGGACCACAACTCAAGACAAATACGTACGTGGCTTTTTAGCTGGGGGAGGGATCTGTAAGCTCAGATAAGTGCTACTCTCAGAATCCAGTCTTCTCTTGTATTTCTGACGACCTCCACGGACTCGATCCAGACGAACACCTGCAGGTAAAACAAGATAAACCCTCATGATTCCTTAGTGCCACAGGGAACCCTGACATGCAGATGCTAAAATTTGCTAAGACAGACGTTCTCCACACTCCAAAGAGCTTCCCTCTCCCAAACACTTGAGACCTCAGCTGAATCCAGCAATCCCAATAATACCAGCTAGAGTGCCTCCAGCTCTAACCACGCTGCTGTGAGCTTTACTTTTATTCAAAACATTAATGAAGAAATGAACCGATTCAAACTCTTGAATCACCATCAATCTGATGGGCAAATGAAAAGTTTCAGACCTCAATGCCCTCTAGATGATCTTGCTTTTAAATAGAAAGACTTTAAATGTCAATCAAACCTGCAGTTATAAAAATAAGCTTTTAGATTGTTCTTAAAAATGAGAAGTTAAATGTTCTGTGACCTCTCACTGTTTATATTTGAAAAAAGTGACCCGTACCAAATAGATTATGAACTATGAATTCAACAAAGATGTTTCAGCCTTGATCAAGTAAGGCAACTGTAATGAAAGTAGAACCCAAACAAATAGAAACAACCTCTACTACAATAAAGCAATGATAAAGCTGAAGTAGGGAGACACTGAAGAATTTGTTGCTGCTCTTTCGAAATACAGTGAAACAAACTGCAAATAACCCCAGTGACTGGGAAGCACCAGTGACTGTCACCATGCAAAAAGCCATAGCAACATCAAGAGTCCAGGAACAGTAGCTGAACTGCTATATTAGTATGAAGTACAACGTTAAAAATGAATAGTGAAGCCATAAATATTTGACAGTTGTTTCTGGCCAGCCGTATGGTCTCTAGTAATGAGCTCTTGTGAAATTGGAGTAACTCAGTCCTGCTGGGAGAAACAGCTATTGCAAAAAAAAAAAGCAATTTTCCAAGGTAAATGTAAGAGTATACAAACAGAACAAAAATTTGAATTTATGCTATAAAAGCACTTCATCAGGAACACACATGAGTTTATGTAGTCTGATCACAGGAACCGATTATGTGATACATTTACTAATCACATTGAGCCATTAATATTTTGCAATCAATCCACTACATAAACACAAACAACTAAAAGCAAACACTTCAAATCAGTTCTGAAGTGATGCTTTTTGAACAAGTTGTACACCTGAAAAATACTGCAGTCTGCTGACAAATATTCTACCTAGAAAGAGGCACATGTCTATCACACTGTGCGTGAGCTTACTGTGTCACGGAAAAGAGAAAGCTTTTACTGTAATGCTCGCATCAGCCCCACCTGCACCACGTGAAACTGTTAATTGCCACATCTAGATCCTGATACTCTTCATGGCTGAAGCACCCAAACCTGACTGACTGACAGACAATACCAACAGCCCCCCAACAGCAAGAATAACCAAAACCAACCAGGTCCACAGCACTCAGTTATACAGTCTGACGGGAGAAGCTCTCTGGCAGAAGCAACACCCACCTGGAGCCACAGTGTGTGGGGACAGAGGCTCGTAGGTATGATGTTATTAATGCTATATAGCTTTTAAGAGTGCTTCTGCTCCCACTAAGCTGGAATAAGAAGGCCTGGAGCTCTCCAGAGCAAAGGAACTGCTGCTGCATGTGGCTGCTGTGGGAGTACAACACACATTGAAGATGGAGAGAAAATGTTGCACATTGCTTCTTTTACCTCTATTCCCAACAGCAGGTAGCCTGTGGGCAAGCCTTTTTCCTGGGAGCCCCAACATGTTCCAGAGAGTGATTTCAGAAAGTGAGATCATCTGGGAAGATTCCTGAGGAACAACACTAATAGTGTCCTGTATGAAGCAGAAAGCTGACTTCAGCTCATGATTTCCTTACCCCTATAAATGTGCCCTGGTTTCCTAAGAAAGAAGGCCTCTATTCCATGCTCTGCTGAGTAAATAGCACCTATCTATAAGACAGGAGAGGAGGGAAAGACACAAATTTCAAGAACTGCCAGTAAACCAAGTAACTAGGTGTGACATTTAAAAGAGTTAGGAATATACTGTTCAAAGATTATGGAAGAATCTAGAACAGGCTGTAGGACTTCAGGCCTGAATCACAGCTCCCCAGGACCCTCGCAGAAGAACGATCACAGAAGGTTTTTTCCTCTACACTACTGGGAAGGATGACATTGGTACAGGAAGACACTGTTCTCAGCCCAGGAGAAACTAACACACAGCGCTCCAGGATGCTTTCACTGGGCAGTTTGATAAGTAGTGGGTTGGGGGGTGACTGGGAGAGGTATGGAGGAAACAGGGGAAGGAGCTCATTTCTTTCTCCCAAGGAGAAGCATGCCATCCTCCAGTGCTTGGCAGAGGGATGGCTGCACAGGTTGCAGCAGTATTAGGGACCCTCAATCAGATTATAAGGACACAAAGGACTTAAGTGCATTAAACAAAGATAAGAGAGACGCAGAGAGATTTACCCTCCATCCCTCCTTCCCTCACAGAGCTGATAGAGGTCTGTTTGCCCAAGGACTCTGGCTTGTCAATTCTGAACAAGTGTTTGTCCTCCTCTTGTTCCCCATCCTGTGTGACACTCCTTGAGGCAAACGTTTTCAATCAGCATTTGCAGAGCCACTATTCTACCCTGTCGTCATCGCTCCAGCCGCAGAGCTGGTGAATAGACTGACCCCTACGTAACAACCCCTAGATGCTGAGCACAGCGACCTGCAGGTGCTACAGCAAACGGAAGCATTTCAGCCCCAGTCCCTGACTGTGACACTCCAGATGTAAAAATCATGGCAAAATCCCTTGCCCAAAGATCTGACAGCCTAATAGGTCATATCCAGATGGAAGGAAAGGGCATGGCCGAAAATCAGGACCTGCCACTGAGCTACGGTATTCAGGTGGCTTGTTAGTGCTTGCTGTTCTACTTTGATTTCCTCGGTGGTTGATTTTAAGATAGGCAGGTTGGTTATCCCGCAGCTCTGAGAGGGACACTGAAGGGCATTAAAATGGAATGGGGAGGGGCAGGAGGTGAGCTCAGGGAATCAGCATGAAGGAAAGCACTGAGCAGAGAAAAAATGGAGTGGAATGTAAACTAAGATATGAGTGGAAGTGAGAGTGTGTAAGGAAAACGAAAATAGAGAGAGAGGACCGGAGAAGGCTGAGTGGTACATATATGGTAATCTCCAGGGCAATTTCACATCAAATGTGCAGCCACTTGAGCTTTAACAGCAAGATGCAGTGACCACTTATGAGATGCAGCTGGTCCGTACTGAGGACTCTTACATAGGATTTGTTGTCACATATGACAATATGACAGCAGCAAGAGAAAGTAGTTGCCTTCCAGCTCCTGCACAAACCTGTTTCTCACATGGATCACAACTAGCCAGTTCCCAGGAGAGAAGGCACTCATCCTACAAAATTGTCACCGCCACAGGCTCTCCTGAATCTCCCTTCTTAACAGTATCAGCAAGAAGGAGCTGTAAAAGCAGGGAAGAAGGGAGGGCTTACAAACACAATGCCAGATGCAGCAGCATAGGGCAAAGTTTGGGAAGTACTATCCCCTGACTTACCTTCCTGGCAGCTGCTTCTTCACAAATGAAGGCTATCTGTGCTGGAAATATCCTCTCTGCTCCCACTCCCCTGTGTTGCAAGGAAGTGCTGCTGTTCATTGAATGAGGGAGCCTGCATGGGAGTCCTGTCTGACCGAGGCATGGAGCTGGCCCTGATGTCCACCACCACTGGGACTGAGTCCCAGCTCACCGGCAGCAAGCTCTCAGCATCCCAGCCTGCCTGAAACCCCTCTGACCCAGCAGGGAGGAGGGCAGGGCCAGGACTTGTGCAGGACTTTTTGGCTGAGCGTCCTGCCTGAGGTAGGGATGTCAGTTTTCCAAGCATCCTGTGGGTGCCACTCGTGTTCCAAGTGCTCCTGCAGAGAAGTCTGTGCCAGCACCAAGCCTCTGCAGTGGGAGAGCTGATCTGCTGATCTGTTCAAGCTCCCTGCATTTCTCTGACATGCCCCTCGGAGAGATGTCTGCCTGACAACTTTGGGATCAGATGTCCCCTTGCTGACTTGATAACATCAGGCTTGGGAGTTTTTTTTCTTAATGGAAGTAAAATAATTCCAGCTTTTTTTAAAAGCTGGACCCAGGCCGAGTCTGTCGGAAGTAAAAATAGCCGAGTATGCAGAGGCGACAGCATACAGAGACAGGTTTAGTTTCTCTTTTATTTTCTGGGGACTAAAAATACTCTTAAAAGCTCTGTGAAGCTAAGCTCTGGACAGTGGGAAACGCAGTCTAGGCCCAATATCAGCTGTCGCATCAAATTACTAGCCTCACCTCACTTTCCATCAAGTCCTTTCACATGCCCATGAATTGATAGGAAGAGAAAGATCTATCTTGCAAAAGGAGCTAACAGAAGAGCCAAGCTACAGGGTTTGCACAGTACAATATGTGTTTACACCGAGAAAGATGCAACCAAAGGCAACACAGGGTAAGTGCTGGCCAGGTAGCAACGCCCACGGGGCTGCTTTAGTTGAGCTTTCCTTCTAGACCAGTCAGGTCCCACTGCCCACTGCCCACGTAATCCTTGACTGCACTTTCTGCATCAGTGCACCCTGCTTCTGCTCCCAGGATCTGAGCTAGGGTGGTACCAACAGAGATGCCTCTGTTCCCAGAAGTTGCAGTCTAAATATATGGATTGGCAGTGCCCACGGAAGCTGGAAGACATGGGTTAAGAGCAGAGGAGAAAGAAAGGGAGAAGAGTTGTGCCCAAGGTGTGTCCTACAGAATTTCCCTCTTCCTTTTTGCTCTGAACTTCAGGAGTGACAGCAGGATGTGGTGATGGGATGACACAGACCACAGGGAAAAGAATCTGTCTAACAAGAGTAGTGAGGCTGCAACTTGCCTAGGCTCTCTTATGTTACTCTGAGATTCCAGCACGGGAAGATGAAAAGACCCCTTCATACCATTAAGCTCTTATGCTGCTGTAAAAAGAAGTCAGCCCCCAGAAAATCTCCTGGTAGATGACTAGTGCAAACACCCAACTCATTTGAAACAC